CTGCGTGCGATTGCAGTTTATCAGGTATCATTGACTGTCGTGACCCCGACTTTCCAAACACGGGTATTTCTCAAGCGTTCTGCCTTCGCCAACTGACTTTCGTCCACTCCCATCTTAATGTCGGAATTACAGGAATGCCGCCGGCCGGGCTCCTCGGGGCACTGGTCTACGCATAGACCGACTGGAGCAGTTAGTTTTTCAGCTGGCAGCTCAAGCCAGGGCGGTTAGCGTTGGAAGCCGGTGACGGTTATGGAAGCCTCAAGGACTTTCCTCGATTTCCTGCATCTGCTGCAGCAAGGGATATCTGTTGGTATTACCAACAATTCGGAGCAGCAGCGCCACGATGTCTGCGATCATATACTTTTTGGTCAGACCCCAATGGCCTTGGGGGCGAAGAGGTACGGCCTGACAGCAGAAGCGATCATTGCTGGGAGTGCTGCCAATCTTTTCATTCGCTGCTTCTCCCTCTGCGGTCCCTGCTTCAGTCCCATTTCTCTTATACTTATTGCTCACCGCCATCACCGCTTCAACAGTTCCTCAACTTGACCAATCCCTTCCTTCGACTAGTAGACATCAAACATACAGTCAGTCATTACATCTCCACTAAGTAGCCTCTGACAAATGGTAGCGTCAGTGTTAGTACCAGTACTACTAAACTTCTTATTGAGATTGAGACGATATGAGTCCAAGGCTGGCTTAAATCAGCGTCACTTCTGACTAATAATCCGGTCAGAAATAGTACCAGCAATACTATCACTCCGTTACACCCCTAGTTAGTAGTATTAGAAATAGAAGTAGCAGTACCAGCCTTAGTTTCCTTGAGTCTGGCTTGACACCTACTAAAGGTGAGTGAGGGTAAATAGTGCGATAACACCAGCGTAAAAGACTACTGTCACTTAAGACTAATTAGGCTGTGTTCTGGCCTGCATTGGTGAAAGCGGCCTATGTCCGATTTCTGCTCGTTCAGCTTGACTTTTGCCTTGTCATCGGTTCAAGCGGGAAGAGGGTTTAGAGTGTGGTAGATGGTTGCCCGTCTACTTTCACTATAACTGACTACAGTTACCATCCCTGCCCTTAGACATATGGTGGACATCATAGAAATCGATAGTCGAACTATCACATCTTCATCAAGAGTAGTGTTGTCTTGCTCCGGCCTGAGAGGCGGTTTTCAAGACAGAATTTTAGCACATGATTCAGCTTGGCTTTATCCATCAGCTGCTGGACACCAACCCTTCCGTCTTCTTCCCACTAAGGTGACTGACTATTTGTGTCTATGTGGTGACGCTGGCAGGATTTAAATCAGTGACGATCCCCGATCATTAGCCTGTCCCACACACTCAAGACATCACTCTTTTGCTGAATGAGTGGCGCATTTTTTTGTTGATCGGGTTTGTTCGCGCTTTCTACAAAAGACTTATCAAAAGCACTGATGTACCCAACACCATCGTCATCATTCCCTTTGATTTACTTGAGTGCTCTCGCAGGCATTTTGATCTAAAGAAACTGCACTTCAGTCGTTCAAGTGGTTCATTGATCACGTTTTGCGAGCTCTTGACGTCGTCAACGCTGAGATTGGTGGCGGTTCCTGGTCCTGCCGAACACGCAATCCCTCCTTGACAGCTATTCGACCGACTCGATTCCTACGACGTTATTGTTTATTGAGTCACGCAGTGGAAACCGGTGGGATAAAACTCGTTCTTTACGAAGTTTAAACCAGTTCCAATTCCTCAGTTTTTGCAGGCAGTGGTCGACTAGATCGCTTCTTGGGAATGGTGCACTTCTATCATTGTTTTTCGCTTGCCGTTTCATACCCTTACAATTACTCCATAACTCCGTGGAGACACTGCTGATGACCGAGGAAACTATTCAGGCTTCAAATGTGAACTTTTCCAATCAACTCAGTGACTTTCCAAGGGTCTTAATCCTTCCACGAATCAAAATTAGCTTCCATCAAACCTTAAGATGCACGGGGATGACGCTAACCTAATTACGAGAGGCAAGACAGCCAATTCCGTTTGCCCATTCAGCCAGAGGTCTAGAAACCTCGCAAGAAGTCGCATAGTGATGATTTGTCAATAGCTGAAAAGGCTAGAAAATGGTATTGGCCATTTCTAAGTCATCCTCATGTGTTGTCCACCTTGTCCTTACTTCGTACCAGCAGCATACTTCAATGGAACGTAGGCCGCTCGAGACCTCCTTCTTCTGGAAACTAAATTGTTTCCCTGTTTACTTTTTTTCTAGGTGTTGGGCAGGCGGAGTTCAAAGTAGCTGACATGGTCGATATGTTTGTCCTCGTTATTCCTCCAGCCGGTGGCGATGAACTGCAAGGTTTGTTTATTTGTTTACTGACGTCTGGCCTATCTTTGCATTTGATGACAATAGGATATGTTGCCCCAAGCAGAAAACGAAAGGCAGGGACTGCTGTACCACAGAGATCGGGTTTCGTTGGTTGGGTAAACGAGGCTGACGGATAGCTGGTATCAGAAAGGAGAGGCTACAAATTACGTTCACACTAGTTGCTTGTTTAAATGCATCATTAAAACGAAAACAACACGAGCCCGCCGTTTAAAATACTGGAAATTGGGAACCAAGCTATCGGGAAAAAAATGAAAATTAAAAGTATTGGCTCGATATCCCAGGCACAGTGAACCCCGGCCATAATGATGATTAATCATATTGGAGGAGAATCTGTGAAGTTCGCCTCTCGTGATGTCCACCATTGAAGATATAATCACAATTGTCAAAGTTGATAGCATAACCCCTAACCCTAACCCCCCCCTCCCCCCCCAGCCCCTACCATCTAACCCCAATCTTAACCCTTAGTGCTATCCCTCCCTCACTCTAATGGAAACAGTCGAGGTAAACGTGTAGGTAAATGAACGAAGACGAAGGGGGATAAATGAAGTCCATCCCAATGACCTAGGTATTTCATCGAAATTAAAAACTAAATAAGGCCACATATTACTCGTCATCTTGTATTTTAATACCTCGTTTATTTTTTGCAATCCGTGAATTGCCTTTCTGTTCAATGTCGAGCCAGCTGCTTTCCTTTTGTTTTGTCATTTGGCGCAATTAGACGTTCCTGCTGCTCCTGTAAAAGTGGAGAAGAAAGCCAACCCTCTTTCGCGGGAATGTTGTTTTTTTCGTCCTCTTCTCTGCCGGCCGTAGTTCGCCGTGATACACAGACACGTGCATGGACCTAGCTAGCGCCACTGAAAATAAAGAAAGCACAATAACACTTGAGGGGCTTGTGTGACTTTCCACCTCGGGATCAGGATTGCGCCACCTTGCACCCAGGGTTCATTGCGCATTAGGCAGGG